TTTTTTTAATAAAATCTATTGCTTCTTAGCTTTAAAATGACATATTGTACGTTTCGATTGATAAAGTGGTTGTGTAACGATCGTAATTTTAAAAATTGTCATTTTTTTTGCACACCACTGTATGTCGATAGCACATCACGGGTTTCATATTAAAGGGAAAATTTTATTGTACTCATAACAGAAATAAAAGATTATTTCCTTTTATTTTTTTTTTTATTTATAACCTTAATAAAAAAAGAATGTAATTTTGAAATGGTTGACTTATTATAGCTTAAATAAAACCGTTAACTTTAAACTTAATTACAGCATATGTTTGCTTCTTAATGTTTCTTAAGAATAAATTCAAATCCCACTCCCCAAAAATTACGAGATAGCTGATATAAAATTTTTCGAGTTTGAATACTAATATAGGTATTAAAATAAAATAATTCGAGTTCAAATACTTCGACGAAAAAAATGCAGGTTCAAAGATTTCGGTATTAAATATAAACAATTCGAGATTTAAATGTCCAAAAGGACCAAATCTTGAACTGGTACTGGTTCGACATAACAATAATTAAAATCCGGGTCATATCCATATACATAATAATAGTCTATATCTGCCGGCGCTTGCGTTTGATATGATATAGGTTGATATTGCATTTCAATGTTCTCAACTTTTGAGAGACTTTCCCCTTGCGTTTGAACTTGATTTAACTTTACATGACGGTTATGATCTCTTTTAATTTGATATTGCTTTTGCAATTCAGATTTCTTATCCTTTGAGAGCTTTTTCCACCATCCTGATACTAGCTGGCTATATTTTGTCATTGGCATGTTATAAGGTTTATATCTCATCATATCTTTGCGAAAAGAGATGAACATGTTGGGTTCTCTCTTTAACCTTGATTCCTGACGTTTTTCAGGAGTTTCTTCAGGAGTTTCTGGCGGAACAAACACAAACTGTTTTCCCTTCATAATTTTTTATTGAAAACAAAAAAAAAAAAAGGAAGAAACTTTTCGAGAGTGTATTTATACATAAGTGAAATTCATATATCTTATAATTTATAAACATAAATTATAATCAAACATTATTAGGAAAGGTGAGCAAACAAATCTGCACGATCTGATTGAATCGTTAATTTTACCGATTAATCTATCTAATTACATGAACTGCGATTATTAATTTAAACAAAATGTACGTATCATGAATGATTTCCTGCTTAATGGTTATGCATATTCCAAACAACAAATAAACAAACATTCTTTTGCTTTTGCTATGACAATTTATTTGATAAACAAAAAGACACCAAAGCAAGCTATTTCTCTTTGTCTTCTTTCATTGAGCCTTACACTTCCTTTCCGTGACATATAAACCATTAAACTATTCTATTCCATTGTTAGATGAATAATGAAATCTATCTTTGTCGATGTTCTCCTTTTCAATTTTGGCGTCCATCATGAAATTAAATCATGGTCACGATTCATGTAAACTTTATTACGTGTAATTTGACTAATTAGGAAATAGAAAATGTCTTTTGAGAAACTGTAATACAAAATTTTCTTTGTGAAAGCAAAAAAAAAAAAAAAATTAATAATAATAAATATAAATCGTAAAGTTTTCTTTTTTTTTTTTGAATGATTTTTGGCAATTTCATCACTTTTTTTTTACGGAGGTAAACCGATTTCCTATTAATAACACCTAAAAGGAAAGTTATCAATGTTATAATGTTCGTATTGTTTTCATTGATTGAAGTATTCAAAAAGAATCAGATATAAATAAACATTATAAAAGAATTTCTCGAAAACAGTGTAATGGAAAAAAAAAAAAAATTTAAAATATATCTTGTATGAAATTTTGTTTAAATTAATTTAAATTCCGAAACATAAATATATATATATTAAATTTGTCAATGAAAACTGTTGTCAGACAAATCAAAACGCCATGTCACATCGGTTATAATATAATCGAATATTGATAGGAAAATAAGTTCCCGTCATTACATACGGAGTTTCAGAATGCGGAGGTGCATTTTTGAATACAATGTTATTTACCTCATTTAGGAAACATCGCTTCTTGCGACAGCAGAAGAAAGTAAAAAGCCTTAAAGTTTCTTTTTGGAATTTATTGAGCGTCTTTGATTGATGTCTTATCCTTTTTGACCTTTTCTCTTTATAATTGAATGAAATTAAACTTTATCTAGAACAAAAAATATGTAGAATCCTGTGTCTCCGAAAAAGATATATAAATGGGTGACCATTTTATTTATTTTATTTTTTTTTTTTGACAAGAAGTGTGTGCTCAAAAAAAAGTATTCTCGTTAATATATCATCATCATGTCAAAGTCTCCAAACGCCTTCCTTTACTTTCGAAATGAAAAAATTGATCTGACGCAAGAACGAACCATGGTGGAACATTCTAGAATAGCAGGTCCTAAATGGAATGAATTGGGTGAAAAGGGGAAAAGAAAATACTATCATATTGCCGAAGAAGCTAAAATTAGAAAAGAAACCGAAACTGGCATACAATTACCCGTAGAAAGAACGTTTGTTCATGGTAACGATTATTCTTTCGTCATTGAAACCCCGAATCAAAAAAAAAGAGCCAGAAATCCCGGTGAAATGATAGACAAACGTGAAAATAGAGAAAAGAGAGTAAAGAGATCAAAAAGTTTGCCAAAATTACAACCTGTTATTGTTGAGGATTTCAGCGAAGCACGTGTCATTCAAAATGATGATCATCAACCTCTAAAAACACCTTTAAGGGAAGATCCTTTTAACGAGTTCACGATTGGAACTGATTTTGTACCAAATGTCGCATTTATGACATTTACGAGTTATGAACTTTCAAAAGTTTCTTTAATAGATGATCAAAAGGATCCATTTGACGAGTATACAATCGGTACCGATTATTATCAAATTGATGATGATTTCATTAATAAGGGCGCACTACCACCGAATCCGATCTTCATTTCATGAGAATGTTGATCGGGAACCCGTTACGTTATCGTTATTTATTAATTAATTAAAAAAATGTATATATTTTATTTTTCTTTCCTTCGTATTTAAATCGTTTATCAAAAATTCCGGCAAAATAATTCGTTTTATCAAAATTTCGACAAAAAAAAAAAGGAATGGATCGACATTATATGTAATCATATGTACACATATGTATATGCTATGCTATTTATTTTATATTTTTTTAAGTAATTAAGGGCGCAAATTAAATATGCAACAAAAAAATTTTTTCTTTCAAAGAAATCTGTATGTATCGGAAAATATTTTCCACTTTAATAAAAGATATAATTGTCGTTTACCGCCGGTTACGCCAAACTTTTAAGTAATTAAATCCGGATTTTGCCGCTTATAGTGATGGTTCTATTCTTAAACATGTAAAGATAATATTATTACCATTTCTGGTATTAAATAAGTAAAAGATATTATTGCCGCTTTTTCATGTTACCTTTGTTCATTCGACTGATCTGTATATCGGAAGGAAGCGTTAATATCACTCGTTAAACGGACCAATGTGTGTAACTATAGGGCTCATTATCATGAATAAATACTGCGATGTTTGCTAACCAATAAAGTAATCTATATTTTTTTTTTATTGTGTTCTCGCGTGCAGTTTCGTCCACTTATAAAAAGTAATATATAGTATCAATGATTCATTGCTTTTACTTATAAAATTCATGCAATTAAACTTTATATAAGTTTGTGTCAGAATAATAATAAATTAAATAATGAAATTTTGTACAATATATTCACGTGATCAAACTTTGTATCACTATAAAATTTCATTTTTATTAAATATCTTTGACAAAATCATTGTCACTTTTCATCGGGTGGTCGTAACCAGTGATGTGGAAGACAACAAATAGCTTGGACTTGGACAAATGTCCCAACTTTCATTAATTACGTCCAATCAGTTTATAAAGTAATTTTTTGCAATTTACTCGCCATCTATTAATTCAATTTGAGTGATTTTTATTTTTTATTTTATAGAGCTTAACGAGAGTTACAAAAAATCTTCTAAATTGATTACTGAATGATAAGATAATAATATTACCAGTTTTTAACTTTTAGATTAAATTTTGCTAAAGTGCGTGTTATATATATATATATATATATTAATATATATTATTTCCCAAACGACCAAGAACATCATACCCTCTTGTCCAAGGACTGGGACTGTCCCAGACTGTCTCGTCCAAGGACATGTACCGTCCCAGTCACAACGCTGGTCGTAATCAACCTCGGTGCCATATTTATAAATTTATGTGAGCCACCCAAGGACCGGGATCTGACCTTATAACTATGCAAATAATAATAATAAATAAAAATAAAAATAAAAATGAAAATTCTATTATTGTTATTAGTTATATTATTTCATTCCGAATCCAATTGTCCTCAATATAAAAAAAATACACATTATTAAATAGAAGTATGGATGAAATCTAAAAAAATTCCGATATTATTAATAAATTGATTGGTATAGTTTAATAATTAAATTCATCTGTTCTTGGATGGATCACGAAATGAATCTTTATATTTGAAAATTTCCGGGATATAAACGTATCATGCACGCAGAAAACAAATCTAGCCATTCTAATTTACGGAACTTTCCTTCATTCTAAACGATTGGTTATGATTCACATGAATGTACATAAATGCTATTTGAGTTAATGTTTATAAAACTTTCGGTAAAATATGCTGGCATGGCATATCGGATAATTTATTCATTTACCATTTAGATCTCACCAACTTAATGGCTTTGAATAATAGGCGTTGTCAAAATATCTTATTGTTCAACATGATTTGTTTTTAGTGGATGGTATCATTACACCGCATTAATGCATTAATTTACTCTTTTCAAGTCACAACTAGCATAAACCTTGAGTTTAATTACACGAACATGACGCTGGCTTGTCATACTTATCGTTTCAAAAGAAGGTAGTAGCATATGTAAAAGGAAGTACCTTAAAAACGACTTTATTTATTTATTTTTCTTATTCTCGTCATATGCATGTGCATGCGATTCATATTTGGTGGAACCTTACAAAATAACGTTATTTGCAGTTAAACTGCGCCCTTATCGTATAAAATCTTATAACATAAAGAAATATATAATCTTAAACCATAGAAAAATGCTTATAAATATTGAAGGGTACGACGAACTCCTTTCGGTATGACAAAAGCCGAAACTAAATCTTTTAATATGGATACGGGATGAAATTCTCGAATGTTCCCGAATTACCCGTAAGAAATAGGTAATTCTCATAAGATTCAGGAGACATGGTTTGGTCACCATAAACTAGGTTGTTACAGTCCGCAACTGTATTCATCAAAATATTTCCTTCATTAGGATTGAAAACATTCGTAGAAATATTATTAAAATTTTGCGATTCTGGATACGATAAAAAGTCGTGATCCGTGGCAGTTGTTGTAACGACGGGTATATTTGAAGAATATTGATAATTGTCATAATCACTCATATGATAACCAATTGATGGATAATATGATTCGTTGGCATTATAAATTCCAATTTGACTGTATGAATTTTCGGTAATGGGGACAACCGGCAACATCATATGTTGCTGCTGATTACTATGGGTATTATCAGCATTGATACCGTCTAATTTCTGTGCTTGGAAAGTGATTTGGTCTTTTTCGAAATCATCAATTTTCGAAACATTTTCGTCCTTTACGATTCTCTTGGATTTCGATTTTTTTTGAATTCCTTTTTTTTTTTTGTAGGGGCGCTTAACTTTTTTCTTTTGTAAATCATTTTTCGAGTTGCATACTTTTCTCTTTTCCACTTCGGATATCATGATATATTTGTTTTTCTCAGCATTGGATAATTCTTTCCATCGGGTTGCAGCGATGCCAGAATATTCATGCGACTTTGCATTTGGATAAGCTCTTTTATGCTCTTTCCAAGTTTCTGCACGAAATTTAATATAACCATTAGGGCGCCTCGTTTTTTTCATTTGTGGATTTTCTTGAATAAAAGCTAACATGTTTATTTGTAATTATTTTTCCTGTGGAAACTCAAAAGTTTATAAAAAGCGTTTTCTCTAAATATTCTCGTTGTTGATGATTGAAAAGGAACAGGTACTAGATGTAATATCGATTAATTCGAATTGATTTTGAATTGTAGGAATTCTAGGATGAAGATAGCATCAAATTCTTGTGTGGTATTTATATAAAAAAAATAATCAGCATCACTAAGCATTTATTTGTTACCATTTAAAACAATAAATAAATAATGAATGTCGAATATCAATATGCATATCTGTCTATTTTAAGATAGCATAAGAAAAAAAAAAAAACCAACTCGCAGGCATTTATTGCGAAGTGGACATATCCAATTATATCAATGCATTAAATAATATAATGAAATGCAATAATGTAATCTTGCTTCATATTTAAAGTAACTTCTTGTTTTATAAATCGTATTTCCAAGAAAAAATAAGAGCTTTCTCTACAGAATGTGGAATTTCTGAAAAGTACAGTTTAGAATTCAACCTGCGCGTAGTTGCCTTTTTTTTTTTTTTTAAGAAAAAATATAAGGAAAATAGGAAAACCCTACTTGGTTAAATTTGGAAAACCCTGTTTGTTGTTAGATTGTATCATCCTGTTAATTAACTCGTTTTAATATCAAAAACGAATGTGAAAATTTTTACATGCCATTCATTATTTATAATCGTGTAACGATGTTCTGTGATAAAATCGAAATTTCGGATAAGATACTCCCTCCTTCGGACAATTCGGAATATTATTAATCAACATTGCTAATAAAGAAATTTTTTTTTTTTTTGTCTTCAATTTAAAACAAGATTTGGTTAATTCTTAGAACAAAGGAATTCTTTATTGTTCATGTTTTTAATGGTAAGTAAAATTTAAAAATAATTTCAAGCAGAAAATTCTCGAGTTATGCTCACTTTTTGAAACGAATATTTGGGAACAAGGACTTCAAACGTAAAATACAAGGCGCAGCTGAAGGTAATATTGAGAATATATATGTAGAACAATGTACTAAAGGTTCTCTCAAAATTTCTTTTTCTAATAATGATCTTTGAAACAATAAGAATAAAATGTAAAGCTACGCCACAAATGACAGAATGCTTGAAAATAATCTCAATTTATGCTTTTAAAATTGGACAATGAAATGATAGAACATTAAAACAAACATTTAATATAGTCAAAATAATATTAAGAAGATATAATTACAAAAATAGATCTGATTTCTAAATATATTTATGATATCACAAAACTTTTTTTATAATTTCTTCGAATCAATACAAATAAGGAAATAATTAAATAAAACAATTCTTGAAGTTATAACTTTCTTCTTTAAACCACATAACATGCATTTTCTTTGGGACAAAGAAACTTGAAAAATAATTTACATAAAAATTTTAATGACCTTGAGATTTATAAATAATAAATGGTGATGTTAGATGAGGTCATTTGAGGTCATTTCAAGAGGTCTTCCCAACATGAAAAACATGAGGATGTGACGCGTGTGACAAATTATATGAGACAAGCGGGTGACGGTGGTGACATTTTTTCAACGACATCGTTAATTTTTTGCAAAACGTAAAATAAGCATATGGAACCTTGCAATAGAAAGGGGTAAAAAATATGGCAATATGATTCATATTATTGTCGATCATTATATTATAACTGCAAGTTTCCATGTTCCACAGGTTGGTAACGCAAGTTGTCAAAACTTTGGACATTAATCCTTTTCTTAATGTAGTTCATAAATGATTTTTTTTTTTTTGATTAAATGTGCAGAAAATACTTCGGTATGGATAAATATTCATCGTGATGAAGCATACTGCACGAGTAATCATATAATGTCTTGTTTTATAAAAAAATAATAAGTGATGCGGTTTGGATAATTTACATTTGACTTTTTAGAGTTCTTGAAATTTGTACTACAAAGTTGTCATTTAACCAGATGTATCATTACATCATTTGTCATACATTTGGTTTTCACGACCACAACGTATCGAATCATTGAAAATTTCCAAGTTTAATATTTTAAGTCGGTTTGGCAGTACGCATGCGACTTTTCCTGCTTTAAAACTTATTTTATACATGAAAGTGTATAAAATAGTCGCAATCTCACATCATTACTCTATAAAATCATTATATATTCAAAAAAAAAGAAAAAGAAAAAATAGATTTGATGTCCTAATCTATGATGTTATATCACGGTAAGTGATATTTTTAAAAAAAAATGGATGGATCTTCAACATGTAAGCTTTCCATAACCCATTGATTTAAACTCTATTAAATTACGCCAAAGAAATTCATGAAAACATCACGTATTTACAAACTTTACAAATTTATCAAGCATGTATTCATTAAAAAAAAAAATATTCCTTTGAAGTCGGAGAAACAAATCATCTTCAAAACCCGCATTTATATGTCGTAATTTTTATATTGGATTATTTATGCAGTATTTTCAGTAATTTCAAAAATCCAAGCAATATTAGAATTTTGTCCATCCTTTTCGCATACATACTAACATGAATATTACAATATCATTTATTTTCATTTTCATTTTTTTTTTTTTTGAAAAGTATTTATTATGGCATTTGTTCGATTTAGAATATTGAATTTTTCAAAGCTTTTTTTTATTCACGATGATCAAAAAATATTATTGACATTAAAGATTAACCGTTGTATGCATAAATATTTGTTGGTTTTATTTATTTATTCTTGAGTAATGGTAACCAAACAAATTATCAGATAAGCTTAAATGATACTTTTATTCTATATAATAAATCGAAGCATAATAATAAAAAAAATATAAATAAAAATAAATAAATAAATAAAGTCGTCAAAAAAACAAGAAATAATACTGCAGTTTTTTAAAAAAAAAAAAATAAATAAAACATAAGGGAATTTTTGAACGTTCAAACATTTTAAGAAAAAAAGGTTAAAAATAAACTTAGAAGTTGCTTATTAATTACATAAAAAATTTTGGTACTTATGGTTGCTAATTGTAATTTTGAAATGTTAAATGCGAAAAAGAAAAATGTAATAGCGAAGAAAAATCATAAGAAAATCTTTGAATATAAATTTTTTTGCCGTTTATAGTAAATAAATAACGATAATTCAAATTTTTGCCTTAATAATAAAAAAAAAAAAAAGAAAGGAAATTTCCAACTTATAAATGAAGTGTTAAAAAGGTGGGGTGAGTAATACAGATAAATAATATTATTGTAGTCATTCGACCATTCCATGATAATAGGCAGCAAAATATTCATCATTGGTTACAATCTCGTTAAGAGAATTCGAAATTTCACCAATTTGATAGACGTTGGCATCGGTATCTACTGGAACGGGATAATAGCAATAATAGGTATCTTGTGTGAGATAAAAAAACATCTCTTCTTGATTCATGAAAGGAAAATAATTAAACGCTTCATTAAAATCGTAAACGACGGGAGGGGCGCAATTCTCACAATAATTGTCATTATTGTTAGAATAATCGGACATGTCATTCTCGTAAACGAATTGGTACCCCTCCGATTCACCCTCCGATTCACCAATTACACCTTGTTTATTTTCTTCCGACTTTTTTAAGTAAAAATTTTTATCATTTTGGGATAAATTTTCCCAAAGCTTGCCGGCTATTTTTGAAAACTCCGTAGAAGTCAATTGTGGGTAGGCCTTTTTATAAATCTTCCATGTCTCTTTTCGAAACTCAATAAACCCATTTGTTCGAATTTTATTTTGAATTAATGGATTGATTTGAATAAAATTATCATTATCATTGTTAAGATATTTAAGATATAATGGATTAATGTTATCACTCATATTCAGATATTTTGTTGAAGAAATTTTTTTTTTTTTTTTTTGAACTAATCTGTGTAGGAAAAAACGATAACGTTCGCATCAAAATTTTAGGTGTTTTTATAAAAAAAAATTTGCGATTAGTCTGGGTACTTGCGTTTCCACGAACTTTTTTTTTTAAAAAAGCACGGAATTAATACTCCAAACACAACGAAATAATATTCAACATTCATCTTTTTCTTTACAACTTTATTTTAGGAAATTGCAATCAAATCTCTTAATTTCAAATAACTCAGCTTGCTGCGTTTAATAATTGTATATATGCATTTCATTACATAATAATCACTCATCTTAAAGTAAAAATTTATAAATAAATCCAATATGGAAATTAAAAATTATCAAAAAGAAGATTTGTATCACGGGCTTTAGGTTAGAATCCAGCTCTTCTCGAAACTAATTTTTAAAGAATTTTGGGTAAAGTCAATAAAGGTTTAAATATAGAACATATCACTACAAATCGATGCATTTTGTGTCATGTAATATATACAATTTATGGTGTTTGATCGGCAACCCTCCCCTCTTTTGTTAAATTTAGAAATGATCATTCATTTTTAGCAAATTAACAAAGCAAATTGACGAAGAAAACAGGAAAGCTTTTTTATTTACGCCCGCCCATACGGAAATTGTAGTTTCCAAGATCCAATAACATCCGAATTGAACTTCAATTAGGTATAACTTTATGACACAAAATCACAGGTGCAGATATTTAAATAAATCTATCCCGATTTAACTAATATAATAAAAATCTAGAACAATAATATGTCATTGTCTTTTTACATGGACACCCAACATTTACGCGTCTTTGAATGATAAACGTTGAAACACAATGACTAAAAGTGAAGCTTTTTACCCTAAATAAAGTTACGCGATGAGATTGAGAATGAGAAAATCTCTTGAATCGGAATTTCGGAAATGATGAGATAAAATAAAATTATTTGCATTTACTGTGTATTCAAGGTCACAAGTTTACCCTAAAGGTTACTGTAAAACAATTGAAATTCACATTCATATTATGCTATATGCAATAATAATTTTTTGTTTTAATAATGTCTAATTTTGGATAGAAAGCAGAAATCAAAAATGGGTTCTTATGTGACGCATATATGTTTCTGTCTAAAACACATGCATGAATCAATTTTTTTAATTTTGGTTTTTTTTTTTGGCAATCTTTTTTCGGCAATCCCTCCATCGCAAGGTCCAGACCCAGGCCATTATAATATAATAACTTGGCAATCCAAGTTCGATAAATGATAAATGAATAATTTTTTATTTTCAAGATGATGTGATATATTCTTTGGTAATTTTGGTGAAATCAAATGGAAACAGATTTTTGATTCTGGATAATTTTCTTCGTCAAAAAATTGCAGTAACGTGACCGCCGATCGGATTTCCGGCACATTTTAAAAAAAAAACCTAAAATATTTTATTAGCGTCCCGTTTCAGTTTATTAAAAAAAAAAAAAAATAAATCAACGCATACACGTATGAAAGTTGATTTATAAAATTTTACAAGTTTGCATTCTTAAAATCTTATTATAGCGTGAATTTTTATTACTGAAAGCGATAACAAATTTCAGTGCTGCGCGTCACGGCTTTTTATAATCTGAGTTTATTTATAGATCCAGACCAAAAATTAGGTTGCATATAGAGTATGATATCCAATGCCTTAACCTGCTCTAGGTTTGATGCGCAGTTCCTGGTCTCCGACTTCCCCTGCGTACCCTTCAAGAAAAGTCACAAAATGACCGGCATCACGGAATTAATGTGGTGCACATGTGACGTATAGTAGGGTGACAAATGATTTTTAATCTGGTCTTTTGATTAGGGTAGGCGTACCATATTATTATAAATAGAATATGAAGGTTTTTTGTTTTTTTTTTTTTGTTTTTTTTTTTAGATAATTTGTTGTAGTTGTTTAGTTTCTTCAAAGTAAGGGAATGAGATTTGTACAAACTACCACAAGGATTTTTAATTGAACTTGTTCCGTGTTTTGTGATCCTGAGAAACCTGGAATTTTTTTACTCATGTAACTTTTCCTTAAATGGAATTCTATGATGTATTGCGTCCCCATCGGAAATTCTGATCTAAGATTTTTTTTTAAATGCCGTTTTCAAAAATGATGACCGATGCATCGGCGGTTACTCTTAAAATATGGCTCAAGTTTCTTATATGTAAAAGGTTAAAGCATTTCTAATACGGTAGTTACACGTAATAACACAGAAATACAATTACTAACAAAAAAAAAAAAAAGAATTGATATTGTTATTCTTAATACTTGAGGCTCTTTGTTTTTCCGTGTAGTAATTTTTTTGGATTTGGACGAAGCTGGTTGGGGTTTTTTTTTTCTCTCTTCTTCATTTATGTAATAATATGGTTCAATTTAAACAATGGAATCTTAAAATGGTTAGTTCGTCTATAAGCGGAAATAAACAAAAAATCATGCTCTGATAATTATTTCGGGAGTATCATAAATTTTTTCGAATTTTTTTTTTTTCTTTTTTTTTAAAAAATACATATAAATCAATATAAATCATATCATACAAATGAAATAAAACAAATATACCAAAATCAAACAGAATACAAAATACTACATAAAATACATAAAATACATAAAATACATAAAATAAATAAAATAAATAAAATACATAAAATACATAAAATAAATAAATGACAATTTTTCATAACTTTACATATACACACAATCTTATATCTTATTATATTTAAATGATATGTTTCCTTCTTTAATTCCAACAGCAAGGACGAGTATAATATATATATATCTCAATTAAAATATTTTAATTTTTTTTTGGAAAATAATTGGTTCAAATTTTCCAAATAAAAAAAAAAGTTCCCTAAATATAAGACTTTTACTTATGATCATCATTATTATTAAAACAGTCGTTGAGGGTTTCAGTTAAACCATCTCCGCAGTTGTCATGGAAGCTTGAATGAGTCGAATTGGGTAGAGATGTGCCGTCAATTATGATATCGGGTGTAAAATCTGTTCCAGGTATATAATCTTTCGCATGAGTATATTTATTAAACACATCGTCTTCCTCATCTGATGGATAATTTTTTTGAGAAGCACCTTCAATATTTATCATGGTGCCATCATCATCATCACTACTTTTGGTTGGTTGAATGAAAATATTTTGAGCAATGACATCTTTTTTAATAACGCTTGTTTCATCAACAACCGATTGCTGTTGAACCTGAGTTAGCCTGTTGTTATCGTTTGAAACCCCTTCTTGAGCCAAAGGAGGAGAAATTCTTACTTCTTTTATCGACTTTTCAAATGCGAAATTATCACTACTGCATGAAGCTGCATCATTTTGTTTTCTACATATATAATATGAATCAACTGTGTATTCTTTAAACAGAGTACTTGAAACAGAATCATCATCATCATCATCACCATTACATTTGCCTTTCTGCGGAATCCCAATTAAAATCTTTTGAAGAATTGGTTTATCAACATCCGATTGCTGTTGAACCTGAGTTACCCTGTTGGTATCGTTTGAAACCTCTTCTTGAGCCAAAGGAAAAATCCTTACTTCTTCTATCGACTTTTCAAACGCGAAATTACCACCACTGGAAGTTGCTTCTTTCTCAAAGTACTCATAATTTTTGTCTTTTTGTGAGACCTCACATAAAACATTTTGAACATCGGCAACTTTTTTAACAACGCTTGGTTCGTCGACATCGGATTGCTGTTGAACCCGAGTGGTGAGTGTGTTTCCGAGAACTATCCCGCAGTTCTCAATTGGATCCGTTACTTTAGCCTTTTTAATCACGATATGATCATCAACATCCGATCTACGGTTATTAATTAAAACCCTTTTGTGAACTTTTTGTACCTCTTGTTTAGCCAAAGGAGGAATGATTTCTTTTCTGATCGGGGTTTCGTTTACAAATGCAAATTTACCACACTGCTCGAAGGATTTTTGTGTAAAGCCGTTACCGCCTGAAGCCACTTCTTTCTCAACCGCATCTTTGGCCGCAGCTTGAAAGAATGGTATTCTTTGCGAATCATCTTGATTTTTCCATCCTGATGCGCTGTCCCGTGAATGATCTCTCATCTGACTTTTATTCTCGGGGTCTATTGTTGAATTTCTGTATTGAAAATATGCATTTGCAGCTTTTTTTTTTTTAGTAGCATCATAAATTGAGGATTTTGATTTTGTTTTGGGCATGGTTTATTATTAACAAAAGGGTATAAATAATTTTGATGATAACGAAAAGTGATCAGAAATCCTCGTATTTATAATTTTTTTTTTTTTTTTTTTAATCTCTTCAAAGACAAATCTCATTATTAAAATGAACATTGGGAAGTTTTTCATTCCTTGAATATAGGAAAATAAAAACTACCGTCCACCGGAAAAAAATCAATTAAATCAAGGTAAAATACAATAAATGAGAAACAGAATTTCCGAGCTCCATTCCATGGGGAACTTCTCACCATCCATCTGTTTATGCAAATCTATTGGGATCACATTTTTTTTTTAGTTAGTTAAACTTAAAGTGCCATTCCTTTTAGAAGTTCTGAATTAAAATTACACGGCATGTCCTTTCTTCACTCGTCCGAAACGTTGACATTTCCATCTTTCCATGATCGTCAAACGTAAACATGACATGATTTTATAACAAGCGAATAGCACTTAAAAATTTTCACTAAGAAAATTTTTTTATTCCTCGACATATTTTATTCAAGTTCATTTCGATAAATAAAAAATCGGGTAGAAAAAAGGCTAAAAAAAATTTCGATGGCTGAAATTAAGATGATCACTATTATTATTATCACACTTTTTAGGAATGATGATTACACAGATGCAACCAAATGACCCGGAATTGTTTCCCCCCCTCATTGTCAAGAGGAGAAAAATAGAAAGTCAAGAAAACAATGACCTTTTTGAAGTTACGCAGATTTGATGAAATGCTTTGCGTCCCAACAAATTGCAATAGGTGGCTGTGCATTGCATTAAATGACATCTCTTATTTTTTTTTTTTTTTTTTTTTTAAAACATTTATTGTATATTATTTACCCCACCCATTTTGATCCCGAGCTCTAAATTCCCGTGTTTCAATATGCAAACCACAATCATATTTGTAATGTCAAATAATTTAAATAATTTTTTTTGAAAGAGATCATCTCATCACATGAAATAATATGATTCGAATTGACTTATCACGTAAGTCGATTTTCGTTTTGTACCACACATCATGACATTTTGAATTGAATCGTCAATCAAAATGGGAATAATTATGATTTCTAAATCCGGAACTTAATTGGTCAGGCTAAATGGCTAAGCAAGCTCCAAATGATCCAAAATAGTGGCGTATTAAATTTTCTCATTGTTTATGTTTACGATCGGTGAATCCTTGAAGCTTATTCAATGAAGGGAATGCCCGTCATCATCATTCCCTACCAAAAGAAATTAATTTTCCGAAGACTGGTTTGAAGTAAATTCATTAGATATTTTATCCTAATATAGTAATCATTATATATTCGAAGGACAAATAGGAAATTGGATCCCTCAACATTGGCTAAAATTTTGATCGGGTGTATTTGTATTGAATACTATAATGTTCTGATGACTTTTCATCGGGACTCTATAAATTATTTTGTTATAAAAGGCATCTCTTTTTTCTCTTGCTTATTCAGAAAAATTTTTTTTCTCTGATTCTTTTAAATTTTAACGATTCAAAAAGCTCTATATCATTTTTTTTTTTTTATAATAAAAGAATAACCTTTCCCCTCATTTTTAGACAGAATGAGTGAATCGAGTAAAGAATTGGTAGTGATACATTATGAACATAACGAAAAGTCTGTGACGAAAAAAGCAAAACAGACATCATCAACAAAGTCGGAAATTTCAAACGGATTGCCTAAGAAGTCAGACGAGGGAAAAATAAAGAAAAAGAAAGAAATGAATCCGTTCATGATTTATCGTAAAGAAAAGTTGAAGACTAGAAAAACAAATATGACGATGACCGAATTCAGCAAGGAGGTATCAATTAGTTGGAATAAACTATCGGAAAGAGAGAAAATGAATTACCAACGAAGATATCAAATAAAACGAGACCAAAAATCGCAAAAAACAGTTGAATTTGTTCCCGCTGCAACGGACCATAATCCTCCAACTGATATTGATTATATTGATGATGGATCATGTAATGAAGTTATTAATTGTGAAAATTTCACTAATAATCTTCGTTTAGAGAGCCAAATGTCACATGATTACTTTAATGAAATCAATTATTCTGAATTTTGCAATGAACCCACTGGATCATATGATAATTATTTTATCGATAATTCTCTCAGCCTAGACAATTTTCAAAGCACAACCTATGATCATCCTATCAGCTTAATTGATGATAATCAATGGACACTCTTTGATTTTCCTAATAATTCTCAACCTAATATTTTTATCGTTCCTATATTATTTAATATTTAATTTTTAATAATAGAAAATGAACAAAATCTAAAATCCGATTATTTAGGCAAAAATCTGAATTTTTTTATCGTTTTCATCGTTTTCATTTTTGATCCAAAACGCGGATCTGATTATTATTATTCGAAATTTTATCTTATTATTTCGCTACCTTCGTATTATACTTATACTCGCAGTTTTCTTTATCGAATACAAACAAACACCTATGCAAACATCCACCAAATTTAAGCACTTCAAATAATTATGATAAGACGCCATTCTTAAGAACTTCTTTGTATGCAAAAAAAAAAAATTATTTTGAAATTCCAATTGTTGATTTTATATTATAGTTTTTTGTCTTCGTTAATTTCGTTTTTTCTATTTATATTTACGTTATTTATGATTATAATAAAAAGATTTTTTTTAAGCGAAAATTTAATGAGATCATATTTGAAAAATAAAAAATAAAAATAAAATTAAATTAAATGGGCCTTTAAAATATAAAAATACCTAATTTGAATTAAATTGTTTTACACACCATTAAAGAACCCAGAACTTAATCATATGATCTGTAATCATTTCAATTATTATTTTAGACGTATACAAGTTACACAAATGTGATCATCGCTCTGATGATTTCTCAGATATAAAGGAAAATCAATAGCTGAAAAATGCACTTTATTAACTCACTTTTCATACACTTTAATGGATTTCAAGGACCAATTATCTTTTAAAAAATAGAAAATTCATCATCTATTATGATACTTTAAAAAGCTGTTACCAAAATCCAAGAGACATAATATAACCTGATCTTTTTGATTGCAGATCCTATTATTAAGCAACAAAAGATCAACTCTGAAAAAGGATGATCTATGGTACATTTCATTTATACTCAAAAATATTCTGAAATTTTTTAAGCTATTTCGTAATCAATTACATAATATTTAACCAATAAAATTCAAGACATGTAATAATAATATTTATATATTTTTTATATATTTTATATATTGAACCTTGAAATTTATGAAGTAATTTTAATTAATTCTTCAATTACATGATCAGAAATTCGTCTATAACCTTTATATTTTTTTACTGCATATTCAGCCAATTTACCTGATATTCCTTTTCTATATACATCCATATAATGCCAAGCATATTGAGCAAATTTTCGAATTGTAATAAGATTTACTGATTCTAAACTTATAGGAACTATTTGTTGTAATCCCAACTAAGAATAATTTCAATTTTTCAAGTATAACGCTTTGCTTTTCCCCAATATTGTTTAATAAAATTTAATTCACAATGGAATTTAGGATAAAAAATGAATACATGATCAGCTTCTTTTATTGTTTTTTGAAGTGCACATTTCTGTGCAAGAAATCAGATTGTAACGATATAATATGTCTTGCATAGTATTTAGTATAGTTGGATGCTTTATTATATCTTTTTGACTTAAACAAAACGTCCACAAGCTTTAAAAAGAAATTTACTAACTATAATAGACCTTATATTGCCCTATTTTCGTAATGGTAGTTTACCATTTAGAGCCTAAATTTTTCTTTTGCCATTATTAGCATAAAAAATACACTCATCATGAATGACTAAAAGGTGTTCTTTTTTACCATCTTTTAATTCAGGAGGAACACATTTTATATTATTTCCAACATATTTTACCATAAAGGTTTCATAATGAGAAATTGTCTTAAGAAATTCTTTTCAGTAAGTTATTACATTTTCATGCTCATATCTATCATAATATATGCCTTGGCAATATTACTGATAAAAAATTCAAGAATATTAAGCTATCAGATAGCCATCATAGATAAAATAGATTTTTTTTTGTAATACTGGTTTTAACAAAAAGAGTATTTTTAATAAAATTTTTAAAAGTTTTAGAGTAACACTACCACCTTATGATCAAATCCAAGTTTTATACTTATTAGTAATGTCTTCATCATCAATTAACCGCATAGTTTTTGATGATTTCTTTGATAAACAGGAGAAAGGTAGTAGGGCAAATTTGGGAGTCCTGAGGTCAAAAAAAAAAGATATCCAAAAAGATCCCAATCATAGGCCAGAAACCCTTCTAGCAATACGAATCTATAATATAGAATTCAGATTTAAAATTTATGCTGGCGCTTAATTTCGTTATCATATTCCTTACTATAAAATTTGAGCTTTGAAATCTAAAATCAACTAAATTGATATAACTTTTTTAGCGTGATTTTAAACCCATCAAAGATATCAAAAAAATATACCATTATATTTGCCTTTAAGACGAGATGAGACTGGCAAGAACCAAAGGTTCGAAGCTAAGCTCGTGGAGACTTTGCAAACCTTATATGTATACTAATATTTATGCTATACTGCTTGCCTTTGGGAGTAGACTCGAATATTGAGAAACGAAATGACGAAATATTCGAGACTACGACCTTGACATGCCTAAAATGCATACTAATTTTTGAGATATCCTAAAATTAATTCTAAAACAGATTCTTTATCGTAATCAAAGAGTTAAATTTTGGTACTATGACCAAAGAAAGGGTACCAAAATTTTGTATGGGGTACCAAAATTTACGGGTAGGATACCAAAATGTTGAATGATAGGAAGTAAATCAAAAGGGTCATTGAACCTATTCTAGTATACAATTGATTTCTTGATATGCAAGAAATTATTCTAGAGCTAATTCTTTTAGAAAATACTAGGGTCAAAAAGTTATACGAAAAAAATAAGTCTCACCTTTGAGATACCAAAATATCTGGGCATATAAGGTTTAAGAATACCAAAATTCCAGGCAGGTACTAAAATTTTAATAACTTAGTTAACATTCTGAAGAGCCCTAAAGCGTAACCTCTGATAGTATTTGGAGACATAAAACCTACAAGGTATATAAAATTAATTAATTAAAGAAAGAAATTTTATAAGTGTTATATAGCAGTTGCAATACTATAATAGTTGTTCATATTTGTGATAGATGCGGTAAAAACTTTCCCAAGTTATAGAAACTTAGACACTATCAAGAAAGACAATTCTAATGTCGTCAAAAAATTATATCTAAAATTAATCAATCCACACCCAAGCAAGCTACTGTCTCGTAGATCATAGACCAAGGAACTGATCCAAAGCCTGTTAACCCTCTAGTGAATATGATCAATAAAAATATTCACGATTCAGAAGCGGATCCTGATCCAGCTACCTAAGCATATAAAAAAGGACAAGACTACATCACAGAAGAGAAGACAAAGAACTGGATTAACCAAAATGCTCAAAAGCCTGTGGAGCATTATAAAACATGGGGAAAAAGATTGGTTCAAAAGTAGAAAGAACTCGATTTAGGAGACCATGATATACCAGAAAATTTACACGAATGTAAAACTCTTTATCATGATCTTGAACAACATGATCCAGATACAGTTCGCTTACCAACTTTAAAAGAGTTAGAGAAATATAATGAGGTCACACTGAGGAATGATCCAGAAGTGGGTTCTGGTCTAGCTACCCAAGCACATAGAGAAGAAAAGCAATGGAAACCCCCACCTCATATAAATACAAAGCAATTTAAAACAGTATTTGCAGACCCAAGTAGTAGGAAATTTATTACTAATGAAGAGGCTAAAAAATGGGATCAGGAACAATATAATCCTGATGAAGCTAGGCTTTTAACAATAGATAAGATAAAAGAAAAAGAAGAAAAGAATAGGTAGGAGTGTATAGAGAACCTTCTACCTGCTAGAAGACAAGAATACGAACTAGAAAAGAAATATGCTTCTGGAAAATATTTTAGATCAATTTATAAAAAGGGTGATAATGAAATAGAGGTTGAGCCTCCTGAAGGGGATATAGTATTCTTAGAAAGGCAACGTGATCCTGACAGATAACATAGATTACTAAAAAATATGACAGTATGGGAGGGAACCGTTTTTTCATGTAAAAATTCTGCATATGCTTTCAATAAAAAGCAGGATAATTTAAGAGAATATGCAGATGCTCCATACATGTCACAACTTATGGTTTCATCATGTGAGGCAATTACAAGCGTTCTCCAAGAAGAGCTTCGCAGAAAAGATCAAATAAAATCAGTACTGGTCGTACATGCTACATATGCAAAATATACTTATAAAGGTTCTGGTGATATTGAAAACCCAATAAACTATGAAATCAGTTATCACCATCCATATCATAGAGGCTTACAGCGTAAAATCCTTTCTGAGGAATATATAGATGAGCACATAACTCTTACTGGGGTAAAAATTGATAAAAAGATCAAATCCTATCTAAAAGAAGAATCTGACAAGATCCTCCTTAGAATTGAGATGATATTGATTGAATCTTATTCTCTTTGTCGTGCTCATGAAGGATCATACATCCCTACTCCCAAAAAGCTCGCCAATAAAAAATGTACTATCAATCCAGATAATTCAGATATTATCGATCCAGCTATAGGCAATCCAACAGATAATTGTCTTTGGGAGCATTAGGTTGCTATTTCGCATATCAGGATAGAAAAACAGATCATCTTGGTAGACATATATACTGAGTAAAAAGTTTTCAAAAATATTTGAAAAAAACCAAGCTAGATGGTATTCCAATGCCCACACCTATCTGCCCACGAATATTTAATAAGATAGAGGAGATGAATCCTGATATCTCCATTAATGTTTGGGAATGGAATGAGAAAACAGCATGACCCAAACCTGTAATTGCCAGCAAGAACTTTAAAAGACAACATGTTATCTATCTTATGGCTCTTACAGATATTACTAAATCCAAAGACGATAAGTATAGGCAAAAAAATCACTTTCTCTAGATTAAAAATAAGAATGGATTAATTTCCAATGATACAGCTCATCATGATGAAAAACATCTATGCGATGGATGCTTTAGAAGTTGGCCTTCAAAAAATGCTTTAAAATATCATCTAAGTTTATGTTCAGAATTAGGCGAAGCTTTTCAATTAGTCACATTACCTATAAAGAATATTAATGATTTTGAGGAATTTAAGAATTATGAAAGAATGATCAAT